CATGGTATTGAATGAACGACACGTTGGTCTCCCAGCAGGTAGATAATTGCAATGGTTTTCAAGAAATTCAACATTCACCTTAACATTATTCAAGCATTCTTACTGAGCGGGACGATGACTTCATCAGATGTGGCGAAGCTATTCCTCGAGTTGAAAAAGGTCTATCCGGATTTCAACCCTGCGCAGATAGTGATTGATGAGGCGCCTTCTTTTTACAATGGATTTCATTCTGTGTTCCCAAACTCACGCGCGAAATTGCATTATTGTCGATGGCATATTGGAAAGACACGGGAAAGGAGTGCAAACAAATATGTTGAAGTTAGTCCATTAAATATGCAATCTTTTTTATGGAGTCTAGAATAAGGTTTCAGCTTCGAATAAGAACTCGAGTGAAGAAGATGTTGAAGGACCTTTTGATAAGTCATAAGGGAACTGTCGTCGTTTCAACAACATTTTGCCGAACTCCTTGCATACCTGCGGACGGAGGGTCAGGAACAAATGGAAGACTACTTGAGACATAATTACTTAGGCGAGTTTGACCTCATCATGAGGTATGCTCCTCATTGAATTGAAACATCAATTTATCGTGGATCGTTTTCCAATCCAGATGCAATTATGGATACGACTATGATAAGTGAGCACTGGCACTTCTGCCTAAAGTCAGAATTTGTCCAAATAGCCGTGCCGACTGTCTAGTCGATCTCTTAGTACGAGCAGTCGAGCAGTATAGCTCCGCTGCATCTTTATGCGAAAATCGGCTCAATTTTCGCCACTGGTTTCTTGCCACAGATAATGCCTTCCACATTTTCCACTCGAGAAGAAACTTCGGGTTTTTTCACACGCACGAAACATTGTTCTGCTAGGACATTTGGCTTCGGAGAAGATTCGATGGCAGAGCACGGTTTGGTAGCAGTGGGTACTTCTCTCGTGACACGGCCCTGGTTTCTATCGACAAGAAGGGAACTCGAAGCCCTCTTTGTTAAGTCGTATCATGTAAATTGTCTGAAAGTATAATTGCTGGCGTAACTTTGGTTCAACTTGTGCGCGATTGCTTATCTCAACAATTTTGGGATGATCTCGCC